CTGTGTCACTGCTATTGCCAGCGAAAGCCAAGGGAACAGTGTCATATTTGTCCCTAAGGAATAAGTTGAACAAATTGTTCCAGCCAATTCAGACAGCAAGAGAAAATGAGGTACTTTCGTTGCTAGAAGTTGATACTTCTCACCATGATAACATCTTCCTATCCAAGGATCTCAAACTATATAGCACTGGCAGTCCTGTTACTCTGAACAAAGCAAATGTTCCTTTGTGTAAAACGGGGCTCTACACAGCGCAGACCTGGTATTTTGAATTGCCAGGTACAAAACAGATCTAAAAGCAGTATTCGACCCCTGACCCCCCCAAACACACACATCGCGGACACCTTCTCAGATAAACATTATCAAACTGTCACACAAGATCCAGCAGGGGCACTTCAAGTTAGAGCCAGTGGAAACATCCTTTACAGAAAAACGGGATCTCGGACATCAGTTTGCAGAGCCCAATGGAAGTAGTGATGCATCTGCAAGCTAAAAGCAAGACGTCTTTCTCAATCATGCTCCAGCTGGCAGGTGGTCAGGGAGACATTTCACCAGAAACAAAAGAAAACAAGAAGTGTTTGGGGAGAAGAACACAGACAAAAAAAAAAATGCCTTCTCCTGTGTCTCCAGTTCACTTGTGCTTGGTTTATCAAACAAGTTGTAAAAGTGATAGGAAGAAGAGTTTCCTGTCCAAGGTAAGTTATCACTGGTTAATATTTCTGAGCTTTCCAAAGAGTCTTGAACAGAGCAGCACGCCTGCCTGCAAGCTGGAAGAGAAAGTTTCAAGCAAAGGGTTAGCCCAAAAGAAAAGCAAAAATTACTAGTGGGAAGTCTGCTGGTGAAATTTTTTTTTTTGCTGCTTCTTCCAGCTGAAGTGAAAAAAAAAAACAAAAAAAAACACCAAACAAAAAAAAAACACACACACATGGACTCCCTTTAAGATCCCAGAAAATATAAAGTGGGATGCTATGCGCATTCCCTCTGCGTGATCAAATGCATTAGCATGGGGGCCCTGTTTTTCTTCAGTACAGGAAAGATCAAGAAAACAGGATGATAAATAATGTATAGGAGGAACATGTCCCTTTAAGATATGTTGGCACAGAAGTTAGGCTGGAAGAAGTAAAGCAGCATTAGTGTGTAATTACACAGAGGGCTTTCAAGAGTCTGCATTTCATGGAGATTCAAAAGCAGAGCAGAGATTTCTTGGGTTCATAATGAACAAATACCAGTAGCATTTCAGCATATCTATAAAATCAAGACTAGTCCTGAGAGAGGCAAAATTTTACTCATTTAGCTAAAAGATGTGGATTAATTGGCAGAAGGATGATTGATCCCTATTCCTCTAAGAGTCAGGAGTGAGTCAGATGAGGGGAGCCTCGAGGAACTCCCAAGATTGGAAGCAGATGTCCACATGATTGCGACAAATGAACAATGGAATAAAGTGGGAGAAAAAATATCTTTGAAGACTAAAAATATTCTGGAAGGAGAACTGTAGAGATAAAGGTCAGCCCTCTGTAATCAGCAATCCCAGTGCTAGGCTGTGGATAGCAGTGGAATACGTGCCTGATTTCATTTCCTAGAAACAACTAGAAACACTCATTGCCTGCAAAACACTTACTGCTTGATCCATACAGAGCTACATGACCACATAGTTTTCAGCCCTGAAATTTCACTCAGGTAAGCTAAACCCCAACAAAATTTCCTTAATTACCCATAAAAATAGTTGTTGTAACTGGCATAAAGATTTGAAGTGACTCATGGAGAGGTGGGGCATTGCAATGCATGATGGAAAGGGCATGATTGCTCTTCAGTGGTGAATCCAGCAAGAGAGGTCCATGGAATACCACTCTATTGAAAAGTGTGCCCTCTGAGAAGAGTTCGGAGAATATCCAAAACCCATCCTTGACACACTAACTTCATTATTTCTGAAGAGTTACAGAAGCTGTTATTTTATCCCATACACACTTAAAAAAAAAAAGTCACTTGCTTGGGCCTACCTGCTAGCTTTCTAAACCCTGGGTTTGGTCTCTAATTCTAACTGATCATAAATAGGGAAAGCACAATGTGAAAAACTAGATGCCCTAATACCGAGTCCCTTCACCTCAAATCATTGCAGCATACTTCAAGATATGCACATGCCAATCCTTTCACTTAGAATAACCTGGAACAAGGAAAACACTGGGAGAGCGCACACAACCCTTCTGGAATCTCACAGGTTCGAAGATACTGAGATTAAAGATAAAAAATCAAGATCAAGCTTACTTGCTTGGCAGAACAATACAAAGCCAGTGTAGCCTTCAAAGCATAGCCTGAACAAATGTCGACAGTTGTGTGGATGAACAGAAATCTATTGGGCAGTCAGGGCTCACCACTAAGCCCTGGGAGCCAGAAGGTATGACACTTTCATTATAGGAAACTTTGTATTCTGAGTCTACCTACACCCATACTGCCGATCATTTATTCTCCACTTTATTTAAAGAATCCCAAATTTCAAATCTTAAGAGTTTCACAGCTCTCAAAATTACTAAGCCTGTTTGTGCTTTGGTACAGGAACACAGATCTGCTAAACTCCAGACGTACTATAAAAGAAAAAAAGAAAGAAGGGAAAAAAAAAAAAAGGGAATGACTAGTTCTATATTACTCACAGAAAAAATGAACATGCAGCCTTTTCCTGTTTTTCAAGAAATCAAAAGCTCCACAGAACACTCAGTGTGAACAAAAAGCCACTGTAGACATTCACATCTTACTTTGAAAATAAATGGGGAAAACATGATCTCCAGCACCTAAGTCAATCAGAGGGCTGTGCTCTATGGTGACGGTTTTGCTTGTTATAATGATCTTGAATTACTATTTATTCTTTCAAAGGTAGAAGAGGAATAGGAAGTGAAAAGCAGGTGGTTATCATGTCATGATGAAGAAATACTATACAGAAGCAACGTGAGCAGTTCCAAAATTGTGGAAGACCTCTTTGCTCACCATTTCATTTTTTAAGTACATATGATCAGAAGTTTAGAAAAGGCCTTGAGGTGTCAGCTTGAAAGCAGATGCAAACCAAATCCGATCTGGAGAGATACCTGGAATGCCGTTTTCAGCTAGGTATTTCAGAGCCACCTTGCCTTCAACCCTGGTAAAGAAATCCTGTTGGTGGGTGGAGGTCATTGTAGTCATGCTCTTTATCTTTCTTAAGCTCTTGCTTACTGACTATTTGTTCAGCTGACTAAGCTCAGTATTGCTTTCTGTGGAAACTCACCTGTATCAGATGGAATAACATGATGCCCAGTCATGTCAAGTACACAGGTTGTACCTTCATTTGACCCCAAAACCTACTCTCGGTGATTAATTCTCCACAACCCTCACTTAACAGTGACTACCACAACTTGCTCAGAACATGGAAGTATGCTGTTCATCGGCTTGTATAGTAAGAGTTTCATTCCTGATACTATGCATTTTTTTTAACTCTGGAAATCTACAAAGAGGGAATGGATTTTGAGAGTTTAAGCTACTTTATAAACACCACCAAAAAATATCAATCTCCTTATAAAAATCCATGTAGTACCAAGTATTATTTGCCTCCGAAATAGATTTCTGACATCTTTTAAAGTCAGTATTCATTTTAGTTACACTAAACTACAGGGGAAGGTTAACAGTAAAACTAAACAGCCTTGATAAACTGCTTGATTCTTCTAGCAAAATTGCCTTTATACTGTTTTGCATGGGTCTTCCAGATTTTGCAACATGGATGATTCACTCCAAGTGAAAGTTGGAAGTACTTTGTTGAGAGCAAAAGAGATAAGGTACTACAAAGAAACCATATTGTCTTGTTACAATACCATCTACCTAAAAGATCTGTTATATTAACAGATGTAGCAAGATGGCCTGTATCTTACCTCCTCTGTCAAGATGGTCAAAACCACACTAGTCTTGAACTGCTTGTTACCCTATCTCAAAAAAAAAAAAAAAAAAAAGACTTGCTGCAGTATTTATCTTAGTTACTCATTTACCAGTGAGAATCTCAGTTGTTTAAAAGTTGAAAATGTGCATGGGGCAAGAAAATATAACGCAAGTTGTCTAGTCAGTCAAACTAGCAAGTTAGATCTCATTTGGAGATTAGATGGACACCGATGCGCAGAAAAAAAAAAAAAAAAACAAACCACAAAAAAACCCTGAAACTGTGGTCAACTGAGACAGCAAGCTATTCCTATGCTTCGAGATCCTCTTCCACTGCTGTAGTACAAAGATTGATGTGAAACGCTCTGCACATTGATTTGCCTCAGAAAAAGATAACAGGAAAGGAAGCAAGCAAGGAAAGATTTTCAAAGGAGCATCAAAAGACAGAAACACATTATCACTGCAAGCACACACATTACCAACGGATCTTTAATGAAGCTGCCTGGAAGAGTTTTAGACATTGTGCAAGACATCATCAAGTTGGCAAAACATAGAGCAATCGGATGAGTCAACATCAACAACACTGGAGACGAGCACACAGTTTTTCCCCTCAAAAAAATCTTTCCAAACTAGTAGGAAGAGATTATCTGTGCTAATTATTATGTGCATTATTTAAGGAATTGTGCAGGTTATAAGGGAGGAAGAGGCATTTTATTAAAGAATTCAACAGGACAACAATCACACAAAGAGACAAAACAGTTCAAATTCATACTCAGAAAAAGAAAAAATGAGTGCTGCTGAAACCAGAAGCAGTCTCTGCTTTTGACACTAATAGCCCTGATTAAGGCAAGCAGAATTTGGTTTTCTATGTGCTTTTAAAAGCTCTTTTCCCCAAAGTGACTGCTTCACATGAATGTTTGTAATAGGAGAGGTACTGAACTGTATGAAACCCATGCACGTTTCCGAAACATGCTCAGGCAGCCCTTGGCTAACCCAGTGAAATCCAGCATTCACAACATAATCAGCATGTGTCCAGCTCCATTCTCCATGTACCCTGCCTGTTTCCAAAAGCCCCCCTCAGGCTGGCTCTATTGGCAGCATCCTGATGTACTTACTATTCAGTGAAGAACCTGGCAATGCCATACTGACTAATATCTTCTCTGTTCTCCAGCAGCTGGCTCACTGCATCCTCCATGTACGTGAGGACATGTCTTTGAGCTGCAAATAAAAGACAGTAAAAGACAGAAATTAGAATACAAGGGGACTACAAATCCCAGAGCCAGACTAGCCTAGTTGCATGGCTTACACACCAAGCCAACAAGCATTTGCTCCCTCAGATAGAGAGTAGAGGTTTCATTCTCCCAGATATGGATAGTAAAATTCCTGACCTAAGTCCTGCTTTCTTTCCTGGCTACACAGAGTTAGTCATTAACAGTGCTGACCCTTTTTTAAAATCCCCTGAGATTCTGGAAGTAAAGGAAGAGGAGAAGTAATTGTGAGACTGCCTTGCTGGAAAATGCTTACTCAAGAGAGTTCCTGATCTCTGTTCTGAGTCACAGCCATCTTTCATATACAGATGGTCAATGCCGTATCTATGGGGCTGTTGCGGAGCTTTATGTGTTCCCTGCCCTTCCCTCCTTACCAAAGCCAAGTAGCTCTAAGGTTGTTCTGCAAAGTTTTTTTCCTAAAGGTGCAAATAAAAGTACATCTGTTTCGATACAAGAATCAGTGAATGTTGTTGGAGTGGCAGGTGGGGAATAGGTCTCAATGCCAAGAGAGATTTATAACGCTCAACAGTCAGTCTCAAATAACTACCTAAACCAAGCATAAGGAAATTTCAGAAGTGGTGGATCTGCCAGTACCCAAACACAGAATGCCACTCACTTATAAGACTTCTGAGTAAAGATAGTTCGGTATGACACAAACCATTTTGCTGCTTCTACAGCGGGCAGACTCTACAAATCAAGCATTTGCCAGAGAGGAAGCAGCACAGATTTGCCACTGAACCCCTTTGATGTTTTTGGCTAGAAACCAAGTTGGAGCAACAAAGAGCCGAGTCTGAGGTGATGCGCCAGCTACCAAGCAGTAGACTTTCCAAATCTACAAGTTCAACAATCAGAAGACAAGTCACAACGAACCCAGGAAAATCGTTCCTAACCTGGAAAGCACACAAACCCTGTTCCCAAAGCACCCACCTCCATCCTGAACACGTATGCTACTGCACCTCTGCAAGTAGC